GGGTAGTGTTGTACACTTGCACTCTTCTTGTTCTCTTCCCCTAAGCATCCACTGTGCCACTCTGTCCTGCTGAGACAGGATATTGGACTAGCTTGACCCATGGTATCCCACTGGGAACAGCAGTGACGCTTCAGGCACCTTGAGTGCAGTTCCAGGGTTCGTGTAGAGGACAGCGCGTCTGTGTTCTGCTACTCAGCTTTTTGTGTGCTTTTCTTCTTTTCACTCTATTCAGAACCATTCAGTGCATCATGCTGAGGCGTGTAGGCCAGACATGCATTGCTTCATGTTTGCTGTCCACTGCTCCTCTGTGGTGAAGTTCATCTTCCAGACTCAGGAGCACTAATCCAGCCATTGACGGGATGTCTGCCTCGTTCCCAGTGTTCCCTTCTGCTTCTGTCCCCTCCATTACGACCCCTGCCGTAATCTTCATTCAGTGCATCAGTGTGGTGACTAGTGTAGACTCAGTTCTGCCCTAGCTGCATCTGTGTGACTCCCAGACGCTCGTGACATTAGGATGTTGTCTTTGCAGAAGAGGCTGAAGGTTTGTTTTATGATTTCCTCCAGAGGTGCTATCAGAGCAAACTCATGACTTTCTGCAAAACTGCTGGAGGAGACATCCACCCCCCTCTGCTTGTAACTGCTGGAATGAGGAAGAAGAAACTTCTTCACACCTCATATCAGTAGAGTGTTTTCTGCATATTATTCATTTGAAGTGACAGCGATTACATACTTTCCTCTTTAATCAGAAGAAACACTCAGCCCTTTCACCCTTGATAACTGTGTTTATGAGCAATTTTAATAAGCATATGAACGTAGACTTTTTAAGGTAGAACCAGCAGTTTTAGTATATGTGTGTGGATTATCTAACGCAATGGGATGTCAAGGGCTTAGATGCCTCAGTGATAAGTGCTGGAGAATATGAATTTTAGTCTTTTAAGAGAAGCCATGCCAGTTTTAATTTTTTGCTCATTTTTTGCATGTGCTGCAATCTGAGTAATAGATCAATACTAGAAAAACATAATGAATTTTCAAGTAGGTTGTCTAGAGGTCACTTAGTCAAGGCGTCCCAGGGATTCCTAACAATGAGAATACAGTCAGGAGATATGACTGCCAGAGTCTAAATAACATAGGGATTCCCTGTAAGGGAAACATTTGCAGCAACCTGAGAATTATCCCATAATCATAACCAGACTCTTTCATAAAAAGAGTGAGGTGGAGAGCAAGTTTCAGTACGTTAGTACCAGTAGACACCTTAAACAATTCATAATATAAATTGTATTTTCACTCCTTGGATTTTTTCCACTCAGATTTTTTCCACTAAAAATGCTATCACACGGTGTGGTACACAAAAGAAGATTCAGGACGTTTCATAAAAGAAAAACAGGATAAGCATTTGGCTTATAGTAAAACAAACAAAAAAATCTGTATTTTGAAGTCCTACGCAGCTGTGTGATCGTGAATGGAATGCAAATGCGAAATCTCTGAAACATAAACACTGTGAAATGCATTGGAGCCATAGGTAAATGTCTGACAGTAGTTTTTCATAAGAGTCTCACGGTAAACTTAACCAGTTTCTTTTTATGTCATTAAACAATTGTTGGCTAATCATGTAAAAGCGCTTCCATTTCTCCAGAAGTTTTGCAAACTCGATTCCTGCAAATATGGTGTATTCTTTTTATTTGTTATTTCTTAAATTAACTGTTTGCATCCTCAATAACTCCTTGGATGGAATACACACAATGTGAAATCTCTAGCAGGAGAAAAAGAATCCTTTTAAGCAATTTTGATGTGTTTCTATGCAACCAGGTTATCTCATGATTTAGATGGCTGTTGCTAACAGGATAATAAATGTATTTTGACCAAGGAAGAGCGCTGCTGCAACACCATTCACGCTTGAAGGTCAAATTTTGTTGTAGCACAAACTGGTTACCATCTACAGCCAGGCAGAATATAAACACAGTTTAAACGTGGTTCTTTGCCCTGTGTAAGCGAGGCATAGACCAAATGAAGGTAAGTCATTGGAGGAGACAGACTTAACAGTTCATTTCCACTCTGACACATATGAGAGGTTTGCAGTGGACTTACAGTAATGTGATATATGACACAAAAAGTATGGTCTGAACATGCTTCCTGTCTAATGAATCCCAAGAAAAAGTAGATTTGTTTCCACAAAATGATTTACTGTCCCAAGCTGTATGGAGTTCACTGGCAAACAGTAAAGCGTATACTTCTGGTATCCATCTAGCTAAGCTTTGACCATTGAATTACAAATGAGAAAGTGCTTTTTATAATGGAATCCTTTTTGTAACAGTGAATTGTTCTATGTTATTTGTTATAATATATGCAATATGAGAAAAAAGACACACTGACAGAGTTTAGGTTTCTGTGTCTTTTAAAGGAATTTACAATCAATGCCTAATACTTAAAACTTGTTTTTCAAATGAGCAGAAACTTGCAAGCGTTCTCAGTGAATTTTCAAGCTATGAAGAGATTGGATTGAGGGAACAGAGGTTATCTGCAAAAAATAGATGTCGTTTTGGCAGATGTCATTTTGCCAATTCTCATTCTATGGCAGAGCATTCTATGATTACAGCACTCAAATCTTTTTTTCCATGATCCAAGTCAGTTTTTCCAAGTCAGTTGTCCGAAGGGGCTTAAGGTGTCCTCTTAAGGCAGATGAGGGCATTTAATCGATGGCACCTTTTTGATTACTGCATGTAGTATATCTGTAGGCTTCCAGTCCTAAAAAAAGTGATGGTGCTCCTAATTCAATGTGTTTCTTCCTCAGTGTTTCGGTTAGGTGGCGTAGTACCTCCTCCAGCCACAGTGTAGCAAGTCTTGGGAACCACGGGGCTCAAAGGAAAAGGCCAGATTTGCCAGGTTCATATGGTAGTAGAAGGAAGACCTTGGACTGCACAAGCGCTGTTTTTGACAGAACACACATAGTAATGGTCTGAATTATGAGTCACTCCCAAGACACCACTACTTGTAATACCACCCCGTGAATGTAGGCTCATGATTACTCTCATGAGGAAGGAAGGTCTTCAAGAAAGGATCCCAGGATTCCCTGTGAGAGAGGGCCTCAAATCATCTTTTCTGCGTGAAGTTGTCCTTCAAAGACAGAGAGGTTAGTTACAGAGCTGGGACCACTGACACTGCAAGTAGATGTAAGTTGTGGGGGAAAAAGGTTAGTACCAGCACCTGCTCATAGCTTTCCTCCTCTGCCTTCCCCTCTAGAAATACTAGCAGAGCCCCCTTGAAACTTGCTGCAGGGACAATTCTTGCATTCAGGCGGTGCAGAGAGGTAGATATTTTTGACATCCACGCTGCCTCGGGAGACACATGTTACTGTACCCTCTTCCTCTCTTGCCCATGTGCACAATCAGTGGGACAAATAGAATTTTCATCTTTGGATAAACCCAGTTAATTCTTTCTCTTGCTTTTCATTGTATGTGTAGCACAGTTTCCACTGCACCTGTGTTGGCCTGGTCACATTGCCAACAACAAACACTAGGACATTATGAACTGCAAGGTCATTGACTGTATCCTGCAGGAAGATCATGGGATTCATGGGAGTAGATAAATCTGATTTCAGGAGATCCTTGTGTTAGTGCAAAATTACTTTTTAAATTTTCAGGAGGACATTTGATGGCCTTTAGTGGAATATCTAGACCAGAGTGAGTTACAAATTCCTTTCTGGAAAAAAGGGTTGCTGGGTAGCCATAAATTTTTATTATTGGGATTCCTTTTATTGTTTGGTTCACTTTGAGATTCATGGTAATGAAGCGTACACCTCGAAGAGCTGTGACAGATTTGACGTTTTAAGTATAAAAGGCTTTATTTCCTGTTTACTTCCAATTAAAGGGACTTGGACAACCTATTCATGAGTGACCAGTAATTCAAAGAGCGCTGCTATATGGAAGTGTATAAAGTATATATTTTTATAACGTATATAAAGTTGTTGTGTTTGGGATAAATGCCCATTTTTGTTTAAGTGCAGTTAACCTTTGT